ATGCCGTTCTGACGGCGTATGCCGATCTGATGCCGTATGCCGTTCTTGTGGCGTATGCCGATCTGATGCCGTATGCCGTTCTGATGGCGTATGCCGATCTGACGGCGTATGCCGATCTGACGGCGCATGCCGTTCTGACGGCGCATGCCGATCTGACGGCGTATGCCGATCTGACGGCGTATGCCGATCTGATGCCGTATGCCGTTCTGATGGCGTATGCCGATCTGATGCCGTATGCCGTTCTGATGGCGTATTCCACTCTGACAGAACATCAGTCTCTCTTTTCGACCAATGATGAGCCAGTTTCCTACGGCCCTGAGAACCAGAGGTGTCAGCTAAAGTCTAAATACTTCATTACTTTACTGAAGTAGAAATGTTGGATATCTATATTTTACTGGAGTAATTATTTTCTAGACAACTTTTACTTACATTTTAAAATTGACTCATAGTTTCGTTTCATTTAAGCTTATTTTCATTCTGGCCTGTTGGTATATAAAAAAAAAACCTAAAAACCATCAAAATAATTAGTTTTATCCAGACAATGAATTTCTTTGTGGTTGGACTTGGTGCTGCCCCAACTTGTTGCTTACCACATACCAAAGTAAACATTTTTTCAAAATGATGCAAAGTTAAATTTGACACCAATAAATATAAAACTAAGAAAATTAGCTCTAAGGACGTTATCATCCAGAATTGTAGAAAAATGTTCCTTTAATAGAGTAGAACAGTTAAGCTTCTGTCCTTAATGTTTTTTTCCTGCATTTCTTATACTTTTATACTTTAAGTAGTTTTAAAAATGGTGCTTCTACACATTAACTGGTGTAAAAAGCTGAAGTTGATCCTTTAACTTCTATAAAGGTGTTTTTAAACAGAAGGATTTATACTTCTACTGGAGGAATAAACTTTAATATTTTGGACTCTAGTCCGAGAACAAGTCTTGGTCCAATCGGTACCTTCTTCATTTCTTGGTGCATTTTAGATCTATAGAACTAGACCGTCCCGTTTCCCTACAGCAGCCAGAGGTTTGATGGTTTTCCAGATGTTCTAATGCTTCCATTCTCTCCTTTTAATCCTTTAATCCTTTAAATGTAAAAAGCAGCAGAACTAACAGGATGGATAAAAATGTCTGCAGGAGACTTGAACCCCCCCCCCCAGTACCGATGTTTTCATCTGAGGTTGCGTCTCTTATCAAAAACTGAGGAAGCACTTAGATGATCATCAATATGTAATGACTGAATCCATAATGACTGAACAAGACCATCGGTCTCTCAGCATGACCGACGGTGCTGCTGATCGCCCCCCGGTGGGTGAGAAGGGTACCGTAGGTGTCATAGGGGTCGACGTTGGAGCTGGGGATGTTCCACCACTGGATGGTGGAGTCGAGGCCTCCACTGAAGCACTGCTCCCCGCTGGAGGTCATCGCCAGGGACAGAACCGGGCCGCTGGAAGGAGGACACAGGATTATTGGATCATTCTAGAATATAAACTCTTTAAAAACATCTATCAGCAGCAGAGGCTGGACTTTTAGGGCTACATTTATGATTTTATTATTTCTGATATCATTCTGATAAAAGTTCTAAACTCTGAATAACAACTAAAAAGAAAAGATGAACAAGATATAAATGGAGAAACTAGAGTAAAGAACTGATTCAAATCTTTGATTTACAAAAAACATAAAACTTTTTTCCACTCTGTTATAATCAGAAATGCCAACAAATAAAGGACCATAAGCGTCGTTAGACCTATTTAAGGGTGGCTTCAGTCACCCTTTCTTTGGCATTAGCCACCCTATAATTATGTTGCG